AGCAAAATATTGTGTTTACGACCATATTTGTAAATACAATATTATTGTTTAGTTATAATAATTCTACTACCGAAATTACAACTTCAATTCCAAGATTCCAAGCTCAGGGAAGGCCTGCCCAAGGACATGGAAGTCCTACTGAAGTTCAGGAAAGTCTTACCGTAGTTCAGGGAAGGCTTGCCGAACTTCAGGGAACTCCTGACGAAGTTCAGGGAACTCCTGACGAAGTTCAGGGAACTCCTGACGAAGTTCAGGGAACTCTTGACGAAGTTCAGGGAACTCCTGACGAAGTTCAGGGAACTCCTGCCGAAAGTTCTGCCAAATTTCAGGAAAGTCCTGCCAATGTTCAGGGAAGTCCTGCCAAAATTCAGGGAAGTCCTATCGAAGTTCAGGGAGGGCCTGCCAAAGTTCAGGAAAGTCCTGCCGAAGTTCAGGGAAGCACAGTACTGGACAAAATAAATCATACACCCATATAATTTTTCTTTGGAGCTCGATATATCAGGTAGATTCAAACATACAATAATGGTTTGTTCTGCAATACTTCTGTATGTTTTTCGCTAAAACTGTGCAGGTATAGAATATTCAATATATTGTATGACTTTCTCAATCATCATTTATAAGTTGTAAAAGGAGAATTTCGAGTTGGACAAAATAAATCATACGCCTGATTTCTTATTGAGAATTCTTGTTTAATTCAACTTTCAACTTACATTTTAACACACTCAGTATTTGGTATGACCACCCTTTGCTTTCAACACTGCTTCCAACCGTCTTGGCATACTTTCGACGAGGTTTTGTAGATATCCTGAATCGATATTCTCCCACACTGCTTCAAGTGCTTCAAAATAAACGTTTTTGTTGGAAACCGAGTAAGACCACAAATTCTCAATTGGGTTGAGATCGGGAGATTGGGGAGGCCATTCCAGCGTTTTGATCCGATTTGATTTGAAAAATGCCGTTGTTTTCTTCGCTGTGTGCTTTGGGTCATTATCTTGTTGGAAAATGTAATTGGATTCCAGGCCAGTTTTCAGTAGCGAAACTTCCAGATTTTCCCTTAACAAGTCGATGTACACATCTGCAGTCATTATTCCCTTTATATGAGCCAAGCTTCCAACACAAGACCACGCAAATATATATACGTATGGGGAGCATACCATGATATTTCCGCCTCCGTGTTTAACCGTCTATTGAATGTATGGTTCCTTAAGAGCGTCACCGGAACCTCGCCAAACCCTTGATCGCCTTTTCTGTCCAAATAACTCAAATTTGCTCTCATCCGTCCACAGAACTCGTTTCCAGAAGTCCACAGTCATTTCGGCGTACTTTTTAGCAAATTCCAGTCGCTTTCGTTGGTTCCGCTGGTTGATAAAAGGACGCTTCGATGCCAAACAGCTTTTCAAACCGCTCTCATTAAGTCGCCGGCGAACAGTACGTCGACTTACATTGAGATCCATCGATTCCACAATATATAGCAATAGCTTTGACGAATACTTCGGATTACTTGTCGCACGATGACGTCCTTGTCCGAATAAATTCCTCACAATTCCTCGTGTTTCGTACTTTTTCCATATGTGCTGAACAGCTCCAACTGAGATCGAGTACTTTTCGGCAATTTTCCGAAAAGAAATTCATTTTTCACGATCGCGAATCACCAAATTTCTAACATCGAGCGAAATCTGCTTTCCCGACATTTTCACTTTTCAAATGACGCAAACAAAACACAATGGTGCGATGCGCACGCTTCCTGGAACAAGAACTGTCAAATATTACGCCGTGATGCCAAATCTTCAGATTTTGTTTTTATTCGATGGCTAAAAAATAAAATCTTAGAAGTTTATTTTGTCCAAGCACAAAAGTGAGCATATACCTATTTATTTAAATTTGTAACAAAAATAGCAGAATATTATAACAATTTTCATTCAGATAATTGAATGCACCATGAGAAATATTTGAACTTTTCTGAATATACTGCTAAAATTGCGTGCAAAATAGCAAAAAATATGATGTAATGTACTTTTTTGGGTTGAGTGTATGATTTATTTTGTCCAGTACTGTATTTTCGAAGTTCAGGGAAGTCCTGCCAATGTTCAGGGAAGGCCTACCGAACTTCGGGAAAGTCCTGCAAAACTTCGGGGGAGTCGTGCCGTAGTCATGTCGAAGTTCAGGGAAGTCCTGCCGATGTTCAGGGAAGTCCTTCCGTAGTTCAGAGAAGGTCTGTCGAAGTTCAGGGAAGTCCTGATGAAGATCAGAATACCTCCATCAAAAAGACTGAAATGTTCACAGAATATCCTCAAATACTTGAGAAACATCTTGTGAAAATTGTGGAACCTTTTGATTTCACTGTAGCTGGATTTTTAAATCAACGCTTATTTTTTTACTATTAGCACACACACTTAAATTGTTTTTATTATTTCACAAATGCAAATCCAATGTGATTTAGGAATACTCTCAATTTAGAATTATTTTTACTATTTATTTTGAAGCGCTTTCATCAATGAGTTCTTGCAAACGCATAGATGACTTTGCCGAATAATTATTACATCCGTTTTTAATTATCGATAATTTTCGCAGAATATTTCGAATTGAAATACCAAAAAATATCTTACAATATTCATCAATTATTGCGAACGAAAAACGTCACGCGTAAGCTTGATCATGCTTTCAGTGCTGAAGGTTTTTCTTGCTATTAGAGTTCTCCAGATGCACAAAAGTGTGCGTGAGACCGCACACTTTCTTTTTAAGTACTTGTGATATCGCGATTCCTTTTTGTTTCATCTTCTTCTTCATTTTTGTATATGGATGTTGGATCTTAGTGTTCGTGAGATTGCGCTTGGAGATCTCTATTCAGTCATGGATCGCCCCGTCGTGAGGCTTTTTTCGCTTCTCTGTTTTGTGCGATCGTTCCAAATTCTATAGTTCTTCCACCTGGAGATTCATCCAGATGACGTTGAGGCTGGAACCCAAACTACAACAACGGTGCCAAGATAATTAAATCTGTTCAACGTCGCTTTCTTCGTTTTGCGCTATATATATTGCCTTGGAATGATCCGTTTCGATTACCCAGTTATGAAAGCCGTTGTGAACTTATCGACCTAGAACTTCGCCGGACTAGAAGAGACGCAAGCAGAGCCCTAGCCGTGGCCGATATACTGCAAGGAAGGACAGATTGCGAGGCTATCCTGAGGCAAATTGACTTGAATGTTCAATCCCGCTTCGTAACAACCTTATGCTAAGACTGCCTCTACGTCGCATAAATTATGGAGCACACGGTGCGATTTGCGGACTGCAGAGAACATTCAACAGAGTTGCATCAGTTTTCGACTTTCATCTCTCCCGTAATGCGCTTCGTCGAAAGTTTTTCGCTTGACCATGCTTGAATGTATTTTTTTTTACTATAGTTGATAAGGTTAACATCATTGGGGCTTCATCTAGCCTGTTGATGTAAAACAAACAACAATAAACAATAAACAATAAAAAAATAAACAAATAAAAAGGAAAAACAGCGTAATTAGGTATAATTAATTATCTTAAAGATAAATCGTCAAGTTCCAACCTTTGTAAGGGTAAGCGGTGGAACCATCATCATCATCATCATCTGTCGACCTTTTGTCTTTTCGTCCTTTGTTTTCTTTCCATCTTTTATCTATCCATTTTTGTCCGTTTGTTCTTTCGACATAATGTCCTTTCGCCCATTTTTCCTTAAACCCAAAAATTGCATGTATAGTTTTTTAATCATTAATCATATTCATATTCACAAAATAGTTAGGCTCAACAAGAATCCAAGAATAATAAGATAACGACTATTAATGGACTTGTTGATTTTTTTTAAAAACAAAAATATAAATTGCATTCAGTTTTGTTTTTGAGAAAACAAATCAATTTTACAATAAACATATTAAAACTGCCCCATTTTACCCCGCTTTGCGGTGTGCCGATATAAATCCTTCCACTTGTAACGACATATCCGCCTACCATAAATGTTAATGTAACAATGTTTATTTACGCTTCTCCACTTGACGAGAGGAAAGCTCAACCAGAACTGGCCGTCTGTTTACATGTTTGAATTCCTACGCGTGAGCGCTCATCAGACAACTGCAATAGGTCGAGAATTGTTTGGTGTTCTAGATTTAAATTCCCTAAGCAAGAATTCGCTGTCTGTATTTGTATGTTTCTCCTTATTCAAGATGGATCACGAAGATGAAAGAAACCAGCGCTAGAACTAGTGCAAGACTGAATCGGATACACAAATCATTCTGCAACACGCTATACGTACTCCAAATCGTTTGTTAAGCGCCAGTAGTGAGTAGAGAAAAATAACATGCTAAGTCTTTATACATTGTTAACCATAAAAGTAGAGAGAGAGAGTAATCTGCTGTCCCATCAAATTGTCTTTGAGGAATGCAAATTTATCTTCCCACTGGAATGTTCAGAGTACGTAAGATTTTAAATTAAATATAAACACTCTAGAATTTTAGAGAAACACTGCATTTTAGTGAGTTATAAATAACCTAACTATACATTGAATAACTATGCATCACTGAGCAGAAGCACTTTCTATACCATTTTGTAAAACACCTATCGAACCGTGACCATTTACATATAATTTACGCTGTGTCGTTAGCAGAGTCCAACTCAGCACTATAGAAATGATTCGCATATAAAACAAACAAAGTCACGTAATTTCTTTCCAAACATAAGGCGGCCAAGAAAATTTGCCTGAAAAGCCGCGTAAAATCATTCCCTTTGACCAAAACGAAAGCATCGATGGAAGTCTTAAAATAGATTCAAGAGTTCTACTTTCTACGATCGACGTGCTTCTCCTCCTCCACTTTCGCCATGATACATCAGATGTAATGAACATTTTATGACCAAATTTGTATTAAAGATTAAAATCAAATCAGACAATGCATTAAAAAAACTGGTTATAAATTATTGATCATTTTTAGGCCAAAAGCCAACAAACGAAGGAATGAAGATCAAATAATATTAATTTCACCTACCTCTGCCTGTGAAAGGGAGCTTCCGTTTTTGCTCGCGGAGCTCCCTTTGGGTTTCAGCTTCAGTCGGCCGATATTCATTGTTATGTTGATAATCTTCACTCACAAAACATCACTCCATTGCTAATCACTTTTGTAAACTCGATAATTGCGTAATTAAAACGAAAAAGCATGCAAATTGAACACTTTCCTAAAGCAAAATGCAGCACAACAACAAAAATTGAAACTGAATTTCGTTTGTTTTGGAATCACTTTGACGTTTACTTGTACCGTCGCAACGCGAGTCGCGAAAAATGGCTACGGGGGGCGAGTTGATGGACATCGGAGATAGACATCTTTTAGAACAATCTGATTAGATTTTTAGTACATATAAATATACACGCTCGCTCAATGTTCCTCAAAGGTGAGTAGCTTCTACTCAGTTTGGTATTTTTGTACAAAATTTCAAAATCGGAGTAACATTGATTGAGCAAAGTGAGTAACTTCTCCTCTGTTTGTCTAAAAACATTGTTTACTCAATTCTGAGTAATGCTGCACAAATTTTACTCACCATGCTTACGTCAAAAGTGAAAAATATTGTCGGTGATTAAACTTCCGATTTCCCTTTGGAGCTTTGAAAATTTAGAATAAAGGAATGCATCAAGTGGCTGTAGAGGTAGATAAGGATTCGTTTCGTGAATTGGAAAGGTAAGAAAAATGAAGTATTTGAAAATAAAAACACCTTATTCAATCCTATCAAAAAAACAATAGGACTATCTAGGAAATCTCGATGAACATTTCAAATGGTCCTATCTGCTTTGATTGATTCTCTTCATCGACTTTCTCTTTTCATAACCACTGCTATGTAAACAGATTTCGCGCTAATTCTACCACATAGTTTAATAAAGGAGGTTCTTATCTAGCGTCCAAAACGTCAAATACAACAGGGAAAGGTTTTGCAGCTGAGTTATTAACATAAGAGAAAGTCGATGAAGAGAATCGATCAAAGCAGATAGGACCATTTGAAATGTTCATAGAGAAATGTTGACGTGGGATGTTACATCGGACGTACACAGCAAATCATCACCATTGATTCCGGCATCACTGCCAGCCAGATTGATGCACAGCAAAAAAAGTTGTTGAATATTACATCGAAACTGCTGCAACCAGGTCAATCCATCGGTTGTGTAATATCACATTGTACGATGTACATCGATTTTGCGAACAAAATTACATCCATTGATGTTATATTGTATCTGCTTTTTGCTATTACATCATTATTTCATACATCAGCTTGAATTACGTTGATCGATATTACATTTTTTTTTGCTGTGTGCGATCCCTCTGTCCTTTTTATTCCACGATTGCTATTGTCAAATCGACCAATCAGAAACTGGCTCGGATTTGATAGTAAATTTGCTCGATATCGCTACCCGATTGTCAAGTCCCGTCTCAACTTGCACAGTATGGTGTAATAATCACCGGTTTATCTGGCGAGCACCCATGCACCATCATCAATCATCAGTCATCGCGGTAAAGCGTGTTTATTGATGTTTGTTCTAAAAAACTTATTGTCAAAAATTTTCTTGTTTTGGAGTTTTGCAGAAAACACCTTAGTTTTTCCGCTAGTTTTCTTGTAACTCGGCTTAAATACAGGTGAAATTCATCAACATTACATTGTATTTGCCTTATTAGTAGCATCTTCTTTCACGACCATGACGAGACCAGGCGAAAATGGGTAAGTAAATAGTGGAATTTACATTTTAATATCAGGCTTCTTGGAATCAGGGCAGGTTATGTTTACGATTACAAAATGATGTTTATTTTTCTTGATGTTTACAGCAAGGATCGCCGGCGCTCTCGTAGCAGATCGCATTCCCCACCGGATCGGAAGAAAAGGCGCTCCCGGAGTCGTGATCGCGATCGGGAGCGTGCGAAAACTTCTTTCCGGTTCAAGGATTTCAGCAGACGTGACCGTGAGAGAGATCGCGAGAGGGAACAACGAGATCGAGAAAGGGACAAGGAACTGGAAAAGGAGCGGTTTAAGGAAGCGGAACGGAAGAGAGAACGCGAGAAGGAACGGGAAAAACTTAGGGAGCAGGCTACTAAATAGTAAGTTTTAGCACTTAAGTTGTTTTGAATATTTTTTAACGATATGCATTTTTAGTGCTCAGAGTGTGAGTAGCAGCGGTGGAAATAGTGGTGGATTTCGTCAATCGAAGTTTGACCAAAAGCCGCCTGGGTTTGTTGAGAAAGAAGTCAAGAAACCCGTGAAGGAGGAGCCCAAAGAAAAAGAGGAGACTTTCGATCTTTCCGTGCCCATGGATAAGGAAGAAGAACAGCGAAGGTTAGAACAGGAAATGGTTAAAAGAAGAGAGCGGATAGAGCGCTGGAGAGCTGAAAGAAAACGAAAAGAAATCGAAATCAAGAAACCATCTGTTTTGACCGGAGTTCATATTCCGAAGAAATGGAGCTTGGAGGATGACGAAGAAGATGACGATGACGATGTGAAAGATAAAGCCAACAAAGGCATTGACGAAGAGGATGATATTGATCCTTTGGATGCGTTCATGAAGGAAGTCAATGATGAGGTGAGGAAAGTAAATAAGTTGGTTAACCCCACAACAAAAGCGGACGGACAGGCTGCTTCTAGCTCTGGTGTTACTATTATCACAGGTGTCGTGAAAAAGAGTACGGAAACGACCAACAAGGGTGAACTGATTGAGCAAAATCAGGATGGTTTAGAGTATTCCTCAGAAGAGGAACAGGAAGACATTAAAGATACTGCTGCAAATTTAGCAAACAAGCAGAAAAAAGAACTAGCTAAAATTGACCATTCTGGAATTAACTACATGCCCTTCAGGAAAGCGTTCTATGTCGAGGTGCCTGAAATTGCCAAAATGACCCACGCGGAAGTTGGCGTTTATAAAACTGAACTCGAAGGAATAACTGTGAAGGGTAAGGGATGCCCAAAACCTATCAAAACCTGGGCCCATTGTGGTGTTTCGAAAAAAGAGTTTGATGTTCTTAGGAAACTCGGATTCGCAAAACCAACACCAATTCAATGCCAGGCCATTCCTGCGATTATGTCAGGCCGCGATTTAATTGGTATTGCCAAAACTGGTAGTGGGAAAACATTGGCATTCATTCTTCCTATGTTCCGACATATTTTGGATCAACCACCGCTTGAGGATGGAGAAGGTCCAATATCCATTATTATGACACCAACTCGCGAACTTTGCATGCAAATAGGAAAAGATATAAGAAAATTTGCAAAGTCGTTGAATTTGAGAGCAGTATGCGTGTACGGCGGAACCGGAATTTCGGAACAGATTGCTGAGCTCAAACGCGGAGCGGAAATTATCGTATGTACTCCGGGACGGATGATCGACATGTTAGCAGCGAATTCTGGTCGCGTTACGAATCTTCGTCGTGTAACGTATGTCGTTTTAGACGAGGCAGATCGTATGTTTGATTTGGGTTTTGAACCACAGGTTATGAGAATCATAGATAATATTCGACCGGACCGTCAGACGGTCATGTTCAGTGCCACTTTTCCGCGGCAAATGGAAGCTCTCGCTCGACGGATATTGAAAAAACCGATTGAAATTCAAATTGGTGGTCGCTCGGTGGTTTGCAAAGATGTAGAGCAACATGTTGTTGTTCTGGAGGAAGATGCCAAGTTTTTCAAGCTATTGGAATTACTTGGTCTTTATCAAGAGCTGGGCAGCATTATCGTCTTTGTGGATAAGCAGGAGAATGCTGATATTCTGCTGAAGGATTTAATGAAGGCTTCATATCCTTGTCTGAGTTTACACGGTGGTATCGATCAATTCGATAGAGATTCGACGATTGTCGACTTCAAACAGGGTCGTGTAAAGCTGCTTATTGCTACCTCGGTCGCTGCGCGTGGACTGGATGTTAAACAACTGATTTTAGTTGTGAATTATGACTGTCCTAACCACTATGAAGACTATGTGCACAGGTAACAGATTTAACTTTTCGCTAACCTCTAATTATTTATTTTTGGTTTTAATACTATGCTTACAGATGTGGCCGAACAGGACGAGCTGGAAACAAAGGTTTCGCTTGGACATTCTTGACCCATGAACAGGGACGCTATTCTGGTGATACTATTCGTGCACTTGAACTGTCCGGTGGTACCGTTCCGGATGATCTCCGAAGCCTGTGGGAAACATATAAAGCGGCTCAAGAAGCCGAAGGTAAAAAAGTCCACACCGGTGGTGGCTTTAGTGGAAAAGGCTTCAAATTTGACGAACAAGAAGCAGCCGCTGTCAACGAGCGCAAAAAACTTCAAAAGGCAGCTCTTGGGCTACAGGATTCAGATGACGATGATGACTTGGAACAAGATATTGACCAGCACATTGAAAGCATGTTTGCCACGAAGCGCATTGTGAAGGAAGTCGAAGCTCCAGTCATAACTCAATCGGTACCCACGCCGGTTCCTACGACCACGAATTCAGACAAATTGGAACTTGCCAAACGATTGGCTTCACGTATCAATCTACAGAAAAATCTCGGATTTGAAGCTAAAGGTGCTACGCAGCAGGCAGCTGAGGCTATTCTCAAGGGTGGAACAACCCAACAACTTATCACTGCCAAAACGGTTGCCGAGCAGCTGGCAGCCAAACTTAACACCAAACTCAACTACCAACCCAAGGATGAAGACGAATCGCCTGTGGAAACTAATGAAACGGTCTTCCGCAAGTACGAGGAAGAGCTGGAAATCAACGACTTCCCACAACAAGCAAGATGGAAAGTTACTTCAAAAGTAAGCGATAATTTAATGGTTTTTTTGAAGGTTTCGTCTAGGATATCAATTTTCATATATTATTCTACTCGCAGGAAGCACTTGCACAAATCTCCGAATATTCCGAGGCTGGTCTTACAGTACGCGGTACGTACGTTCCACCGGGTAAAACTCCTCCAGAAGGTGAACGTAAGTTGTACCTGGCTATTGAGAGCTGCTCCGAGTTGGCTGTAACGAAGGCAAAGCGCGAGATAACACGACTCATCAAGGAAGAATTGCTGAAGTTGCAGGCTTCGTCGCATCATATAATTAACAAATCCAGATACAAGGTTTTGTAAGATAGAAGTTGATTAGAAACTAATAATACATTTGAATCGCCCAATAGAAAATAGAAAGTTCTTGGTGCATTTTAAGGTAAAATAAAAACTGTTTCGCGAAAATGGCAAATGTTTTTTTTTTCGCAAAAATAGTTAATTTCAAAGAGACAATTACGCCAAACAATAAAAAAAAATTGCTTCAAATGATGTCTCATTAAAGGCTGGTTCAGTTCGGTGTTCGGAAAATGGTTACAGGATTTTGGTTTTGTCACTAATCGTACCGAACGTTACCCAAACCATATTTTCGAACCACTCATTCTGTGACTGTTATAAATTTTATTAACAAAAACGGAGGCGAACCAGCCTCTTCTTCTTCTTCTCTATTTGAGCTATCATTTGACAGCTCCTGGGAAAGGGCAAAGTGACAACGACTATAAAGCCCTATTGATTTATCTCTTCGTAGCGTATTTGGTTCACGCATGGGTATTTAGCTCCAAAAGACAGGTGTCGTTAGTGTTCGGATTACCCAGTAGTCTCCAAACGAACCGTACACACCCCTGGAGTCACCGACGTTTCAAAATCGAATCAAAAAATTGTTAAGAAAAAAGAAAAATCGACTAAATGTCCATTTTAATTTCTCCTAGAAAGGTGCAAACTTCGACGTAAAAATTCAAATCTCTGCTGTTGAATAATTCAATTAAAGTACGGAATCTATTATCGAATGAATATTTTGCTCGTATTCGTCCAAATCTACAACAGTGCAACACAATATGCTCACCATTTTCAGGCTCATCACAAGTTTCACAATTTTCGTCGTCAATTAGCTTCATTTTAGCCTTCCAAACTTTTGACCAGTCGTGACCAGTTAGCAATCTATTCAGCAGCCTTATCTGGTAGTTGTTCAAATTTTTATTGTAAAACCAAGATACGTTTTCGATTGTTTGTTGAAAGTTGAAAAATGTTTTTCCCTTTGAATCAGAATATTCCCGATACCACAGATTTGTTTTATTGTGCATTTTATTTTTAAAAATTACAAAAGCATCTTTTAATAAAATGCAATTGGATATGGTTCTTTTCTCAGTTAATCCTTGTTTAGCTAATCTGTCTGCAATCTCGTTCCCTAGAATATTTACGTGACTTGGCACCCATTGAATAATTGTTTTCCATTCATAAGCTTTGGTAACTATTTGATTTATTAGTTCAGGAATCTTGTTACTATGTGATCCTGTTTCTATTATTTGACACGCTGATTTTGAGTCTGTGTATATAACTGCATTTGAAATTTGATTTTGTTCTATTATGGTTAAGGCTGTATCGAACCAGCCTCAGCCTGAAAGCCTCCATAATAAAGAAAACTTAACTTATTTACAAAACCTTGAATTGTATATGCATAATAATGTATATAAAACAAACAAATACTCCTTTGATCCTGTTCAATGTAATGCTAAAATTCTCATTTTTAGCACCCACCCATCCTTCGTAGCGTGGGAACTCATTTATCATGAAATCGTTTGTCATTAGGTAGTTTAGCATAAAGTCGATTGGCATAATACCTTTTTTTCAATTCGCTATTTGGCATAATGGTCATTTTGGCAAACTGACTAACTGAATCTCCGAAAAACATCAAAATTAAATAAATGCCAAAATGTTTGGCATAATCTTCAAAAAGGGAAAGCGCGAGTATATTATGTTTTGCATATAAGAGGCTGTCTAGGTGGACTGTTATCAAGATATTTTTCACCACACTACCTCCGTGGATAATCTTCAAAAATCAAACCTTAAAAAAATCGTATGAATTGTAGACTCTTGCCCAGTCAACCGAAAAGGAGTGATGGATGGACGGCACCTTCCACCGCACTCATCGGGAAATTTATATATACAGTAACCCCTCTATATATGCGGTGGGTGCTTCCGGCCACCCACCGCTGTTTCTCGGTTGCGTAGATTTTTGCTGAGATCTCAGTTAACGAACAGATATTTTACAGATATATCATTAAACGTAGGCGAAAGTGGAGCAAGATGGCCGCATGGGTAAGATGGCAACCCTGGTGTATGTGCATCAACAATCTCTATAAAAATATTCCTAGTATAGGGGATGATTAATAACAATGCAAAACACTAACAGTCCCACAGAACACCTTAGGAACACACGAAAATACGATACGATTTTTTAAACATTGCAGGTTACTAATTTTACCGGAACGATGCCTCCGGTAAGGAGTGTTAACAAGCAGACCTACTTTTATCAATCTTAACCATCAACACATGGGCCGGGACGAATGGCTTTACTTTCATACCGAAGGAAGACGATAAAAATCCCACTTGGCAACCCAGGTGAGGTGGCACATGTCATGAAAATGCTATGAGGAAAAATGTCGTGAATGTGGTGACATCTCTGTAGTAAAAATGTACATCTACCCCTTCTGCCCAGGTTCACCCTTTCATACATACATGTCCTTTACGTTTAAATAGTTTAAATAGTAATTTAAATGGAAAATGGATTTAAGGTCATCAAATTGAACATCATAATATACATGATACAGATTACATCGATTTATTTGGTCTACTCACCACAGCTTTGCACTTCACATTGTTTCTCTTATTGTTAGTATGATTGGTTCAATTTCATATCCTCGGTGTGATAAACCATCACATCCTTGAAATACATATTCTTGGTGAAGAAATAGGCAAAGTTGATCTCGCGATCGAAGGGGAATCCGAATGGCAGTTCATCAATATATTTCGAGCCAGATCCAACGCCGCAGCTGTAGTTGTAATCATACGTGGAAAATTGTTCGACCTTGGGAGCGTAGTATGGAGTGACAATGAAGTAGAAGGCCATTTCGAAACCGCTTGGAAGACCCTTCGGCAACAGGAGACGATCGGGGAAGCCACAGTGAGCTTCAGACATGTCCAGAACGAATTTGTCCTCTCCCTTGTATGCCATCATGACCTTCTTATACAGGTCAGTGTAGGTGGTGCGATCGCGAACGCTCCAGTAATAATCACGAGAGTTGCGGACAATAGTATTCTTGCCAACGACGAAGTCATACATATACTGGTCAACCTCAACGAAGTATTGCTTCAAATTTTGCAGTTGCTTAAAGTCGTAGAACTTCGGTCCCATGTACATGCGAACAACGCCCTTGCCAGCGAATTCAGAGGAGATGTCCATAGTATAGGTGAATGGCTTGTGGTTGATGCGCTTCTGGCGAGCGAACACCGAGAAATCGAAGAACTTTTCTGAGGAGAAGCCCATTGGGATAGCATTGCTGATATCGGCATCGAAGTACTCGAAATAAGTCATCAGCTTATCGAAGACGACATTCTTGATTTCGACTCCCTTGAAGTTCAGTTCATCAAAGGTGTAGTATGGCAGGTAGCTCTTGAATTGCCAGTAGTAGCTCAGGATTTTGTAGTACAATTGATAGAAGAACGGATCACGAATCGATGTTTCGAAGTGCATGAGAGCGCTGGGCCACACCTTCGATCCACTGTAGAAGTAATCAGAACCGCTGTACATGAGGCGAGCGAAGAATTCAATATACTTGTAGTACTCAGTATCAGCGCTATCTGGATTGGCGTTGATCAGATTTCCGAGGTAGTTGATAGATTCTGGTTGACGGAAGTCAATCTTGGTTCCATCATCTAGATACATGTATCCCTGGTCAATAACTTGTCTGATTCTGGCTTCGTAGTCCTTCAGCAGATCAATCTTGTAGTACTGATCCTTGGGGAGAGAGTAGTAGTCGTTGCGTCCATAGAAAGGCATTCCATTCCAGTAGGTGAGTTTGGGCGAATATCCAGTCTTGATAGGCTGATCCCAGCTGAATTTCTCAATCGGTCCCATGAAGTTAGCTTGACGTTCCAGGTAGTAACGAGCAATGAGCTGTTGATACATGTACATGTACAACTCTCCACGACGATCCTTGAACAGGTTGAATTTGCTTTCACCCAGGAAGAATGGATAGTCCATCATGAAATAATAGTAGTATGAGTTGAGTCCAATATCTTCAGTGAAGTAGCTCAGTTTGTCTTCGCCGAAGTAGTCCATCGGATAGAGAGCGGTGAAGTTTGAGTAGACAACATTGTATTTGCCATTGCTGACAAATCCGAATTTTGGTTCATACAATTTCTTGTACATCGCCTTGTGAACCATGTCGGTGTTGAAGAAATAGTATGGGTAAATTTCATAGATCGCTGGCAGTACGATGCCCTTGAGATCTGGACGGTGGAAGGTAGCCATGGTCAGAGCATAGATGAACATGCCCTCGTTGACGTTTTCGCGAGCCCAAATGACGTTCTTGTAGAAAGTTTCCCAATCAGCGCAGTTGTAGAAGAAGTTGAAGAGCAGATAGGTCTGCTTCATGTACTCCTTATTGTAGATGGTGAACATTTCTCCCTTTGGCAAGAAGCCAAGCTTGTAGTATTCGAAGAACTCGAAGACTTCATTGTAGTTCTGAAATTAAACATCTTTTAGTTGATTGGGAATTTCAAAGGAAATGTGCAATGCTTCCATACCGTGTATTTGGTCTCATCGGAAATCCATGTCTTGGTGTATGGCATGTACTCCTCGAACATGAGAGGCAGATGGATGTTGCGGAACACCTCGAAGAAGAATTTCTGCTTTACCAGAAATTCCTTGTCGGCTGAGAATAAATGAAAATTGTTATGTTAATTGGAAAAGATTCCTACAACAAGAATCGACTTACCATATTTTAATCCGGTCACCGATTTCTCCACCGGAACGTAAGCTGCACTGGTCAGTGCGACCAGGCAAAGTGCAATCGCTGCAACCGTCAGTCTCATCTTGTTCTCTCCTGTACGAGCTCAACTGTGAGCATGTCCTGTTGCATTAACGGACAACAGCTTTTATAGTACTTTCGATGATGCATTATCATTTGGAAAACAAATTTGAATGCGATAACTGGGCTTCTTACATGTTCCGATTTTTCTGTGCGCTCCATTGTATGTAACATTGCAATTTTGATAACACCCGTGGGCGATAATCACGTGAATGTTACTCCGGGACATTGACCTATTGATGAACGGACTATCGAACGAGGGATGGTAACTGACAAATTTCGCATGTTGGGTTGGTCTTTTTGAATTTTACTTGAACTTTGGTTTTCACATGCTAGGTCATGCTAGTATAGGAGATTGGTTATAATTATGTTTCGTTGTTACTAGGTGAACTATCATTCGATGTGTAATTTAATGTTAATTACGTATACATTGTTGGAAATTCGTGAAGTGATCCTATGCTAAATACGATGATAAAATTTAATGCAAACAATAGTACAATTTTTATATGGAAAAGAGTTTCTATACAGTTTTTAAAATAATGTCTTTATAAGTTGTGGACTTCGTGGTCGTGCGATTAGCGGCGTCACCCGTCGTTCAGACGGAGTGTGTGTGTCACTAAACGATTCCCGCTCCAGTTGGTAAAACTTTTTTGCAAATGGAAATTTCTCTACTGACTGGTCAACTGAGTTGTTGTGTGTTTTCCGTTGTCTAGTGCTCAGTTTTTCAGTCTGTGAAACTTCTGGATGAAGACGATGTCAATTGTTTTTTGTCTTTAAATTTAAAAAAAAAATCGACGGAGGGTACAGGGGAAGTTATGGCACTTATGTGCTTGATGATGCCTATGAATTTCTCGAACATGTTGTTTCTTGAAATGGTGAGGATCTCAAAAGTTGCAAGCTTCAAAAAAAATCTTCACGATGTTTAAGGCCTTACGGATAGTGGTTGGTTACATTCAAAATTCTATCACTTCATGGCACAAGTGTGCTTGTGAACTTCCGATTATATAACAAGCTTCAAATGCCTTACTGTCTGTATATCTTTTTGGAGCAAGGACGAAGTGTTGATGCTGAAAATCGATGTCTGACAAGATTTTGGAAACCAAAATGGAAACTTTTGGTTTTCAAATAATTTTCAGATACACTACAATACAAATTACATCATTGTATTGAAAATTATCTTTTCAAAAAGTTAACATATTGAAGAAAGCAAACTTATTGGATGGTAGCTAGAAGCTAAAGACGAATTTTTATTCGCCTTCAATATTGGAACAACTTTTGCATTTTTCCATTCATCAGGAAACATCTGGAAGGAAACATTCAAATGGAAACATCTGTTAAATAATTTTATCAAGAAAGACAAGCTACTCTCTAGGAATTTTTGATGAGAATATAGACAATTCCATCATCACCTGGAGCTTTCATATTTTGAAACTTTTAAGTTATAGACCTTACTTCGTCCAAATCAATCACCCAGCAATCATCAAAATTATCTTCCCGAGAGAAAATATTCAGATAATCCCAAACAACATGATTCTCAACAGGAGTAGTAAGAACAATACTAAAATTATGGGAACTCTCGAATCGCTTAGCAAGTGTTTGAACTTTTTCCGAATTTGTGATCAAAATGTTACCACCTTCTTTAAGCGCTGGAATAGGCTTTGAGTTTTTTTTTTAATTTTTGTTAACTTCCAAAAGGGTTTGGAACTCGGGTCCAATTTCGAAACATTATTTTCAAAAGGTTTGAAGCTGAAGATGATCGTCTATTATAATTGAATCGAATGTAACCTTGCACCGGTACTGAGGCAGCTCTTGCTTCAACTATAGACGTAGTCAGAGGTTCAAAAGCATAATTAACATCATCTTTGGTTTGCAAAGAAATATTTGGATCAAAGTTACATTCCAATATTCGATATTGCTTCCAATCAGCTTTATGGTAATTTAAAGCTGTTGGGAAATGAAGAAATTACCAAATCAGAATTTTAAATGTCGCCGTGTATTGTCGACATTTTGCAGCACTGCTGAGAAGTACTGTTCAAATTAGTTGTAGCTTTAGGTAGCAGTAACACCATAGAGGTAACTCTAAGACCAGAAGGTCTCAAAGAAACGTGCTCAACTTTTTGGCTCAGCTCTGCTACTATCTTCGGTCCCAAGTTAATATTTGCACCCCTCGAAACACAGGGAAAATCCACGAACCCTTTATTTTATCTGTTAAACTTTCAAAGCGAATCAAAACAAACATAGTGCAGTACTAGAATTTCGTCTATAATGGGGTACGTTAATCTATTTGCTTGGGACCAAAAGGCTAGTCAAGTAGTGAGCCAATTTAAAATCGATAGTTTCGTATTGATTGTTGGTTTTACTGGGTTTACCAGTACAAGTTTAAAAATATGTGGAAAATTCAACAATGACAAAATTTATTTCGAACTTGTACAAAAGTGATTAGTCCTCACCCCCATTTAATGATAAAAAATAAAATAAAATCAATTTTGTTAATTTCTTACGGATAACCCAAGTAACCAAAAGTTCTGATAAAAGGCTATTTATGGCTTAAGCACCTTGGTTGAAGGTGGTCTATAGAATTCTAAGCAGCCTAATTTTAAAGTCATTATAAGAACTTGAAAGTTCCGGTACCATAATTGAAGAGCATTCTAAGCAGCCTCTGACGGAACTTGAACGGAACTTTTAGAAAATATATTAAAAAAAGTCCTATATTTAGTTCGCACTTTTATGAAAGTTATTTCTAAAGGCAGGTGTATTAATGTGTATTGATTTATCGGCATTACTAGTAGTAATGGAGCTGTTTGAAGAATTAAATCCAGTCCTTCTGCGTGAGGGTCTTAGCACGAACTGCTACGTCATCTGAAGTATATTGAAGTGAGCTGTTGTCCCTCCTATTGTTGGAGTTTTCTGAGCCAGCTGACTGACTTGAATACGAAACACAACACCTTGATGAAATTTAAATTGGTGTTTGCCCGCATGCTATTCCATCACACTTGTGGCGCAGTGGTTAGCAATCGTAGATCACATGCCAAATACACGGGTTCGAATACAGGAAATTCCTTTTTATTTTTTTTTTTTGATAGAATGTTGCATAAATATAAGTATTATGATTTATTCGGGCCACTGATTATTTCATAATTACGTACATTAAATTTTGTTACAAATAAAGACTTGTGCGGATTGCTTCATGTGGCTTCACGCAGAAAAATATTTATTGTTGAAACAAAAATATTTTAGGTAAATTTAAACGTAAACTCAGTTTGTTCTGGCCACAAAAATAAAAAAGGTTTATTTCAAACGTATTCCATCAATCATCTCACTGCGTCCTAGCAAGAAGTACGGTCGACTTGTTTCGCGCTCCGTTGTTTTGGAAGTTTTCTCGGTATTCGCTTGATATAAATTATCAGTTTTTGCTCACTAAGTGACTCCTGGCATAGTTCTCGGTAAATTGATCGAAAAGTGAGTTTTTTGTAGTAGAAAGTGTCATTTTCGGAACGATTAATCCGTGCTATTGGTAATTCGCAAACCAATTTGGGCATCATCGTTGCGTGGTCACGCATTCGCGCTCACGCATACCCGCTTACGTATCATCATCATCGAGTGTGAGCACCCGTTTCTACATCTACATCGTTCATCAATCATCGTGCGCCTGTGTGCGCTGACTGCCGCGCCTCGATCAAGTGCACCACAACGAAGGTCATCCACGCAGCGCGTCTCTTCCAGCCATCTGTGTAAACGCCTACACATATAACGCTCGGTGGTAGTAGTATAGGATTATCAGATAAGTTTTTGTTTTTTTCTTGTTTCTTTTCCTCCCCCATTAGTTAAATTTTCATTTTGTATTTCTGTGTTTGTAGTGTTTTCTGTGTATTGTGTTTGTGCGTTCAGTGGGAGAGCGTTTTGCGCTCCCACTAGTTGAACAAAATGGATGTTTTGTCAGAAGATGACATGGATAACCATTCATCTCAGAAAAATGATGATGTCATCCATGGTTCGTCGTCTCAGTCTGACAATGGGCAGGCTGAGAAAAGCTCCAGATTGCGGGCCTACCCGAATGACTCGACTGGCCCATGGGTTGTCTATTTTCAGCCCAAAAACAAACCCTTGAATGTTGTTCAGATATCTGATGATCTGACAAAGCGATTCTCTGCCGTGACCGAAATAACGAAGGTTAGGCACAACAAACTTCGTGTGACCGTCGCTAACCTGAAACAGGCCAATGAAATTGCTGTTTCCCAGTTTTTCACACTGGAATATAGGGTGTACATTCCAGCCTCTGATGTGGAGATCGAAGGCGTGGTCACTGAGGCGAGCCTGAACCCCGAGATACTGGAGAAGCAAGCGGTTGGCCGATTCAAGAACCCCTTGCTTCCTCCGGTAAAGATACTGGCCGTTCATAGAATGAAGTCAGTATCGCTCAGCGAGGGTAAAAAGAGTTTTACCCCCACAGACTCGTTTCGGGTGACCTTTTCTGGATCTGCCCTTCCTCAATACATCGAGCTGGGAAAACTTCGTCTTCCTGTGCGGTTGTTTGTACCTCGGGTCATGAACTGCCAGAATTGTAAGCGGTTGGGACATACGGCCTCCCACTGCGGCAACAAGGCACGCTGCTCCACATGCGGGGAGAAGCATGAGGATGGCGCCTGCGCAGCTACTGCACCAAAATGCGTGTACTGCAATGGAACTCCTCCTCATGCTCTCTCGTCGTGCCCGGCGTACAAACAGCTCGGGGACAAAATGAAACGCTCCCTTAAGGAACGTTCCAGGCGGTCTTTTGCAGAAATGCTTAAGACAGCCAAGCCATCGACCAACGAAACAAATCCCTTCGCTCTTTTGTCAGATGACGAGTCTGGCTCTGACTTGGCTGAGGAGGGAGTTTCTTTCAGTTTTCCGGAAGGTTCTGCCCGGAAACGAAAACGCATCCGTTCGCGGAAAGTTGCAGATCAAGAACCCCAAATCAGCTTGCCCAAATCAAGGAGTGGTGGAAAAAAGGAGACTTCTACTCCTCCTGGATTCCGCAGAACTGATTATACCCAGGATTTTCCACCTCTTCCGGGGA